CTTGATTATTTAGGTCCAATCCATTCAGGCCCAATTGAAAACCCTTATAGTCCAAATGTCTGGCCCAACTATTTGGCCCATTTAAGCTCCTAGGGATTTGTGCCCTAATATGTTACTGTTCATATACCCCCATTTCCCTCCACTCCTCACATTCACGCAGCCAAACTATTGGGTAAGAAACTCTCCCTCAAATTTTGTCTCAATACAGTTTCACATTGGAAACTCTCGATGATACTAGAACATCCATTTCCAGCATCATCAACATTATGATTCCACATTCCAACCTCAACCCAAGCTGTAGTCCCCAAAACCTCAACCCCGAAACCCAATTTTCGAACCACTGCAGCCCCCAGCTTCAACCCAGAACCACCATTTCGAATCACCACATCAACAGCCACAAAACCAACACACGAAACAGCCATTCATGCACCCCATTCGAACCATCACCTCGCCAAATCGAACCACCAAGTGCAACGCACAACCCGCAGTTGCAACCCAAAATCGACAGCCCCTATTTCACCCAAATTCACCTTAAACCAAGCAAAACCAAAATAGGAAAAAAAAAAAAGACATAAACTTACCTCATACCGGAGCCCTCCAAGCCTCGTAGCCTTCGACCCGAATGCCAAAACTACCCTGCCACCTTCATCCACGTACCGGCGCCACCACGCAACAGTGGTGTTGAGCTGACCGCTTCGTCGGCGGCGAAATAGGGGAAGGGGCAGCCCCTTTCTCGTCCCCGCTTTTTCTCCTCTTCAAGAAATGAGAGATAGATGAAGTGGGTGTGATATTTTTTTGTCAATTCTTTATTTTTAGAAATTATCCCCTGGCCCCCCCAAGTTTTAAAAGTGTTTATTTAAGACCCTAGAGCTTCTGTTTTAAAGAAATCAGTCCTTAAACTTTTATTTTCAATTTCAATAATTAGGGAATCAGTCCCTAAAGTTTCTGTTTTCTTACAATTAGTCTCTAGTTTCTACAAAAGTTTATTTCAGTCATCAAACTTTTGATTTCAGTTTTATAAATTTCCAATTAAGCCCATGAATTTTATTTTATATCATTTTAAGTTACTATTTCAATCCCAAGGTTTCAGTAATTAGTAAATTAGTCCCTGAAGTTCTTATTTCCCACATTTAGCCCCATTACTTTGAAAACATTATTTTTAGCCTTTAGATTTTTTAAATTTAGTTTTAA